CCTGATTTGAGTTAGGAAATGGATTCTTTTGGTTTGTGTCTGTTTGGGAGCCTTGCCTTGCCTTCTAAAGACTCATAACTGGCTGGGTATGGTGGTGCACACCTTTAATCCCAACACTTGGGAGGCAGAGGCAGGTGGATCTCTGTGAGTTTGAGGCCAGCCTGGTCTACAGAGCAAGTTTCAGGACAGCCAGGATTCTGTTACTCAGAGAAATCCTGTCTCGAAAAACTACAAACAAAAAACAAACAAACAACAAAAAAAAAAAACCCTCATAACTGGTTTTAATATTGTAAAAACAATTCTGTGCACAATAAAATACTAAAATGGGGTGACTCTCCTTTGAGGAGTCCATACCCACTCTCTTGGGTATGTCTCTTTTTCTGGACCATAGTGCTTACAGATCTACATTTAAAAATCTCAAAAGCTGTCTCAAATCCCCCCCCAAATAAATAAATAAATAAAAATATCAAAAGCAGAAAAGAATGTTAAAATATCTATAACTTAATAAACCCCAATTCTATAACAACAAAACGACCAAGATTGGTCCCTGGCAGAGTCTGGGCTCCTGCTGTGGCTCCTCACTGTTGGCATGAGACTCCAGGGCAGAAGCAGGAGTACACTGCTCACAGGCCAGCAGGCCCTGCGAGCATTCGTTTGCATGGATAGCCCTCACTCAAGAGTCCTGGGAGACACAACGGCCCAGACTTCTGCCCTGCACACAGTAGGTCCATCCTGGAACACCAGGCTTGGGGTGAGGCGCTTCATTCACAGTATGGGTAAGCAGGCTGCTCTGTGTCTCTTTAGGAAAGGTCACCTTGCTCCCTGCAGACTAGAAATGACTTGGGAAACAGAGATCAGGGCCTTGTGCCCTAGACATACCCTGCAGGCATGCTTGGGACTGCTCAGACCCCATGGGGTGCTTCTCCCAACAGTCAACAGAGGCTCAAAGAAAAGAAGTTTACCTACAGCAGTTAGGCATAGTGGCACATGCTGTGATCTCAGCCTTATGGAGATTCAAAGAATAAAAAAAAAAAAAAAAAAGCTAGGCCTAATAGCAACACCTTCAATCCCAGCACTCAGGTGGATAGGCGGATCTCTGTGAGGGCAAGGCCAGCCTGGTCTACATAGTAAGCTCCAGGGCATCCAAGGTACACAGTGTGACCCTTTCTCAATAAAACAACAAAACCAGCTTCACACTCAGCAGCAGATAAAACTCCCACCAGCTTTGGTGTGCGAGCAGGGTCTACAATCCATTCACACTTTTGTTACTGAATGTTATTTCAGAGACATTTCTGTATACTTACTGGGCGCACATATTTCATTGTCTGTCTGCATAGCTACCTCATGGCATGCATCACAGTAGTCATCTCTCTTGATGAACGTTAACATTGGTTACATTGTTTCCAAAGTTTCCTGTTAAAACAAAGCTGCAGAGAGCCGGGTGGTGGTGGTGGTGGTGGTGGTGGTGGTGGTGGCGCACACCTTTAATCTCAGCACTAGGGAGACAGAGGCAGGTGGATCTCTGAGTTCAAAGCCAGTGAGTTCTAGGACAGCTAGGGCTACCTAGAGAAACCCTGTCTCAAAACACCAAATAAAGAAATAACACTAAAAAGCCACAAACAAAATCAAAGCTGCAGAAAATGGACTTGTTTTCTTTTCCTTCTCTTGTAGTTTTGTTTGTTTGGACAAGGTTTCCTGTATCCCAGGCTCAATATGCATTCCAGAATGACCTGAGCCTGCTGCCTTTGCTGCCAGCATTTTGGGAGGTGTGCCACCTACCCTAGTTTACGTGGTCCTGGGGACTGAACCCAGGGTTTCTTGCACGCTAGGTTAACACTCAGCCAGCTTAGCTATATCCCTAGCCCAGCAACGATTAGTTTTTAAAAGATTTTATTATTTATTTATGTATATGAGTGCTTTATCTGCATGTACAACTTTATGCCAGAAGAAGGCATCAGATCCCACTAGAGATGGTTGTGAGCCACCATGTGGTTGCTGGGAGTTGAACTCAGGACCTCTGGAAGAGCAGGCAGTGCTCTTAACCACTGAGCCTTCTCTCCAGCCCGCAATGATTATTTTATGTTTTGCCTTTTTAATATGTATGGGTGTCTTGCTGACATGTGCGTCTGTGCACCATGTGTGTGTGGTGCTCTAGGAGGCCAGAAGAGGGCGTCAGATGTCCCTGGGACTATGGACAATTGTGAATCCACCAAGTAGCTTAAACCTGGATTAAACCTGGGTACTTCCTCCAGAAGAACAGACAGTGCTCTTAACCACTGAGACATTGCTCCAGCCACGAATTGCTTTAAAAAGAAAGACCCAGGGATGGTGGAATACACCTCTAATCCTCCCACTTGGGAGGGAGCAGCTGGAGAACCAAGAGTTCAAGTCACTCTTGACTACATAGTAACTTCAAAGTCAATCTTGTCTGATACATGAAACCCTGTCTCAAAAAGAAGAAAGGGGGAGGGTGGTAGCAGGAGGGGTAGGGGGCACAGAGAGAGCAAACAAGAAAGAAAGTGATGGAGAGAAGGGGAGGAGGACAGGAGGGAGGGAATAAAGGGGATGAAGGGGAGGGTAAGGGAGACAGAGGGGAAAAGCACCCCATGGTTGGGTATGTTTCGTTTCTGCTGCAAACAGAAAAGCAATTGACTGCAGAGTTAGCAATTGCTAATTAGACATGGGAAAGCGTTTTAAAGCTGTAGACTATGGGGCGTGAGCTGGTCAGTGGGTAAGAGCATTTGCTGCGCTTGTGGAGGACCCTGGCTCAGTCCCCAGCACCCCCAGCACCCCCACGGCAGTTCGCCTGCCATTTTCTAACCTCCGCCAGTTGTACACACACACACACACACACACACACACACACACACACACACACAC